ATTGTATATTTATTTAGTTTATTTTATTTAGTCATTTAGCAGACGCTTTTATCCAAAGCAACTTACAAATGAGGACAATAAAAGCAGTCAAAACTAACAAAAGAGCAACAATATATAAGTATAAATGACAAGTCTCGGTTAGCCTAACACAGTACACACATATATACACACACACATACATACATATATATATATACACTTACATATATTATACATACACACAGACACACACACACACACAAAAAGAAAAACAAGTAGATAGAAGAGAAAAAATAGAAAGCTAGTGTTTGTTAGTTTTTTGTTTTTGTAATTTTTTAAATAAAAAATAAAAAAGATGATAAATATATATATAAAGTAGAATTAAAATAGAATAGAAAGTGCTAGAGTTAGAGGGTCAAATAAAGATGTATTGTATGTTCAATTTAACTCAAAAAGCAAAAATAAATGTAGATAACACTTTTATTTGAAATGATTCATTTGAACAAGTTTCGTGAATCAAAGGATTCAGTTCAGAGATTCGAACACTCGTTCAAGTTCAAAGGATGAATCTCTCTGTTTCAAAAGCAAAAATAAATGTAGATAACACTTTTATTTGAAATGATTCATTTGAACAAGTTTCGTGAATCAAAGGATTCAGTTCAGAGATTCGAACACTCGTTCAAGTTCAAAGGATGAATCTCTCTGTTTCAAAAGCAAAAATAAATGTAGATAACACTTTTATTTGAAATGATTCATTTGAACAAGTTTCGTGAATCAAAGGATTCAGTTCAGAGATTCGAACACTCGTTCAAGTTCAAAGGATGAATCTCTCTGTTTCAAAAGCAAAAATAAAACCAGTTCGAAGTATCAGAGTCTTTTGTGTCCAAAAGAATAAGAAAAATGGGAATTATTAAAGGTTATGAAAATATAATGAATTTATATGCATTGTTTTATTTAGTCTTTGCACAGATCTTGAAGGATTTTCTATCCTGTGGCTTCCTCGTGGGGACAGCATTAGCATTATGGCCTTCATCTCTGAACAACATTAAAATGAAATGGCCAATATTTCTTGAATGATTACAAATGTTTAATGTTTACTTTACTGATAATATTCCCACATTAAACTCGAATTTACTGATTCTGTATCTTATTTCATGCATTAAGAGTTTAATTTTCGACTTACATTTTTAAGCAGTGATTATTGATTATTATGTGACTTTTTAAATGATTATTTTTTACAATTATAATATATAAACAATATAATGATGGAAAAGGTACAAGAGTAATTTTTTTCATAATATTTTGTATAAACAATTGTTTTTTTTTGTTTTTTTTGTAATAAAGGATTTTATGACAACCAAAATTGTCATTACTAAAAATTGAAGACTAATTTAATTCATATTGTTTTTCAATAGGTCAAGCACCTTTTCATAAATATGGCTTTCTCCAAGGTTTTGTATTTTTTATTTGTAGGATTTACATTTCAAAAAGTAAAGGACAAGTAGGCTACTTCAAGCTCTTTAAGCAGCTTGTACAAACCCTGGTCATTTTTAATATAGACCGCTGTAATAGTCTATTCTAACCAACAAGTTTATTATGAAAAAATTAATGTAGATATCAGTTAAATTGCGCGATAAACAATTAGCAAACAACAGTATAACAGAGCAGGTTTTGTGGATGTTTCGATGCAGAAATGGAAGAATCCAAAAATAGCATTGCATGGTTTTAGGCACGTGAGACATTTTCGATTATATTCGCCAAGCTATCATGTATTTTGAAATAATCTTTTCTGTTTTTGTCCCAGAGAAGACTTTCTTACCGAGAGAAGCGAGGATGCTCTGCATTTAGACAAAAAAAGATCTCACAAGACTCATATTACCTCAATAATATATTGGTATAATTTTATTACCTTAATTCGTTTGAGTTTTTTTATGCAGAAGCTTTTAAAAGGCATGTTTCTGTATTTAGCCTTTTTTCCGTTCAGAGGAGTGCTGTCAGAGAAACACAAATAAAGCTCAAATGCACTCAACTCAGCTTTTTAATATGTTCTTCTAATTATACTCTATAAATTCGCTGGAGTGTTTGAGCTCCGGACGCAAGGCTTTCAGTTTCACACTAAAACAGCTCACAAACACCTGAAATTAGCTGTTGCTAATGTGTGAATTGTATTCAACCGCTGGAGTATTTTATTTTTAAAGGCCCTTAAACGTCCAAATGGTGTTCTTGTGAGCAAGCACGCACTGCTCTCGCTGATCGGTGCGGAGACAGTTGTTCTCTCGTGTTTCACACGGTTCTCTGGCCAAACAGTCACTATTAAAGAGCCCTGAAGCAGGTCATAATCAGATATGTTGGTTTAGCTTGTCAGTGTGAATGAAATTCGTGTATTTATTGGTATTTAGAACCGTTTTAAAGTGAAACTAAGAGGAGTTAAGACTCCAAGAGATCAAGAGATCGGGTATTGCTCCTCTAGGGACATTTTATTTATTTATAAATAAACTGTAAGTCTGATCAGTCTGAAAAGATATAGCACACTTCACGCAATTAAGGCCCAGGTATCTGCAGAGTTTGAGCCTTGTGGCTTTATAGCCCTAGGAGGAGATAGGTTTAGAAATTGGAGTCTCAAAAGAATAACTTTAATAATAATAATAAGTTTAAATAGCAGAACAGTATGTTGTCACCAAGTCAACATAATAATGATGTCCTTTAGCATCAGTGTTGGGCTTGTGACTCATTTGACCAAAATCTACATTGGATGGCAGTCAGAAGTTATCTTGTTATCTAAGTTAAGTTGTCTTGTGTAGCTTGAAGCTAATTGTAGCTATAATTTCTCTGTTACCCAAATATGATGATATTTCATGAAGTATTTTATCAAAAGAAAACCCATAAGTTCATAAGATTTTTAATTATAGTAATATCATTTATATCGGGATCAGAGGGATGTGGGTGGGCAAGCCATGTAATACCAGAGTAAAGTAATGCCACAACGTACACACATGTGTTCAGATCACCTTTTCTCCTGACAAAATCAGTGTAATGGCAATATCTCCATTCCCTGAATGTAAGCTTTTCCATATTCCAAGCTTCCATGATGCACTGGTGACTTCATGTGCCTGTGCGAGTCGTGAAAATTATGAAAATAAATCTAGGAATTATTGGATTGTTGGATTTCAAATCAGTAGAGGTTGAGGCAACAAAAGTAACTAAGTAACGAGCTGTTTTATGGATGGTAACTGTAATATTATTACTGAAATCTTATTTTTAATTAGTTACACTACTAGTTACTGCAAAAAGTAATATTATTACAGTAACTAGTAACTCAAATTGGCACCAAACGGTTTACTTCTATATATTCAATTTACATTTATATATTAAGATTTACTTCTATATATTCAGATTTGTATCTATATATTCAGATTTACATTTATATATTCAGATTTACATTTATATATTCAGATTTATATTTATAAATTCAGATTTACATTTACATATTCAGATTTTCTTCTATATATTCAGATTTTCTTCTATATATTCAGATTTACATTTATATATTCAGATTTATATTTATAAATTCAGATTTACATTTACATATTCAGATTTTCTTCTATATATTCATGGTTATAACTGTATATTCACATTTTAAGTTTATATATTCAGATGTACTTCTATATATTCAGATTTTACATAATTATTTCCTGTTTGACGCCTCATAATTATATATTTGACTGTGCATATATATATATATATATATAAATAAACAACAGAGTAGCGGGCCAAATCGGTTGCCAGGCCATCGGGAATTCTCCCAGTTCTCCCGATGGACAGTCCGCGCCTGGCTCAGTCCACCCACCTCAGTCGTGAATGAAGTGCTGCATATATTTTGGAGTCTGTCTCTGCTTATTTGCAGTGCAAGGGTAAATAAAAAAACAGGTACTTTGAATCAGTGTTCATTTCGTTGACAAATAATTTTCGTCATAATTGTCGTCAATGAAATTTTTTTCACCAACGACAACGAGACGATAACGAACTAAAACTCTTTTTGAATGACAAAAACTATGACGTAAATCTATTGACATTTTGGTCAACGAATAAAAACGAGACGAAGATGTTAGGGAGGGACGATTTGGGAAGAGATTCATTCAGAATGAATCTGCTGCATGGTTCAGAGGTTAGATGCGTACATATGAACCGGCGGGACGTAAGCTAACATTCACTTGCTGCACGTCGCATAAAACGTTAAAAAAATGTCAATATGTGGGAGTAAGGGAAGAGCAGACATACGGATAAATCTGACGACACAAGAGAGAACTCGAGCTGACACTGAAGCACACACACAGAAAGCGCCTCTCACAGCGCACGAGTACTCTTTCGCATCTCATGAACCGAGAATTACACACAAAATGATCTTGAGTTGTCCATTTTGAGGAGTATTCACGTAAACACAGTTGATTATGTCTTAAGTGAATGTAAACAGTAGGGAGAACGTGTATCAGTGCATTGCATCCATTGCAGCTGTGCGTTCGTTTTAAAGGGACAGCAGCCTAATTTAGTTGCTATTGTCTGAGTCATTGATGTTAATCAAGCAACAAAAGAAAGACAGAAAATCATGCACCGCTCTTGACTGAAAAACTTTAGTAGCCCTAAAGATTCATCTGCATTTATTTATAGAAATAAATATGTCTGCTTGAAAGAATGAAGAATATGGTAAACAGGTTGCTATAAAGAATGCATAATTAGCCGATATAACCATTGGTATTTCATTAAAAAGAAGAACATGTTCTTGTTCTTTATGAGACGTGGTTTAATTTAATTTTAACATATAGGCATGTTGTGTGTCACAACAGTTAAATCAGTGTCTATCATGATAAAACCTTAATATCAAACTTATATAATGAGTATTAAACCTGTTCAGATGACTACAATATGACTAAAACTAAATGGCATTTTAGTCACAAATTATGACTAAAACTAAATCAAAATTTGCTGTCAAAATTAACACTGCTTTGAATAAGTACACCATTTTCTTTTTACATGAACAGTGCCATATTCATTACCATGCCAGTCTCTTTGAGAGCTGTCATGACAGCATGTTTTGCCAGATGGCATCAGAGTCTTCCAGGTGTGTTCTTGCATAGCGCAAACAAGACTGAGTGTGGCACTTTTTCAGGAAAGTCTTCTTTCTTGCCACCCTGCTATAGAGGCCAGCTTTGTGTAACGACACATGGAAGTGTCTGATCATACATAAAGCCACAATACTAACTTTGACAAGAAGGAGTTTAATCGTTAAAAAAAAAAGAGTAGTGGGTCTACATGAATGGTATATAGCCTGACATGGTGATACATCCTCTGATAATCTCCTGAGATCCAACAGCTAATGCCAGCACATTGCCTTGCAACTCACCTGATGACTTGACAACTGAGTACAGGCATTTCACTCACGTTGGATGTATCGGTGTCACATTTGCATAGGCCGTACTATTTAAATTTGTGATTGGTTGACTGCAAAATTAAAATCTTAAACAGACAGATAAAATAATGCTATTAACTGTTTAATGGTCATTTCAAATAAGCATTTCTGTTCAGGATGATTAAACTTGATTTTGTTTTTGCTTTTGTTTATGCTTCTGTTAAAATTTAGTTTGTTTCAGGATTTTGTTTCATTCCTTAAACCGGTTCATAGCCTTGATAAAAACAAAAGTTTTGATCAGTGCTCACAGCAGGGACAGCTTAGTATTTAGGGACCTAGAAAACATTTTCATGTCCAGTTGGCATCTGCCACCATGGCCTCAAGTGTCTGTAGCAACACATTGTCTCCGCTTTCCCTCCTTTCTTTGTCCTGCTTAGGTTCAAGTCTAATCCCCTCAGTAACGGCAGTAGAGGTTAGATCTTGGTCACATAGTTGCCTGGAAAAAAACCTTCTTTATCTCTCAGTTTCCCTGTCCACCATCCAGAGACATCTAGACAAAAAAATAATGCATTTAATAATGCTTTTGATAAATATCAAAACTGCTATGTTCTGCCACTAAAAATAAATTGTTTGTGAAAATGCTCACGTGCCAATTTCACACAAACAAAAAAAGTTAATCAACAAGACCCACAATGTATCTCTAAAATGGTCTAAGATTCAGATATATGTAAAATGCCCGCAATATTCCTGAAACTACATTCACAAAACATTAAGAATAACTTTTTTGTAATTGCCATTTTCTAGTTAATTTTTTTTAATATATTTTGATTTATATTAGATATTACAAATCTGCCACAAGTCATTAGAAAAGAATGATAAAATGAGAAGTGAGGAAAAAGTTCTCACCTTCATGAGTGATGTCAATGATGTCATCTTCGTTGAAACTGAGCTCATCGGTGTCTTGGGCGTCATATTTGTAAAGGGCTTTACATTGAGGCACCTGGGGCTTCAGCTCGGGGGCCTGTTTGGGCCAAACACTTCCTGGAGCAGGAAAAACTGTAAGTGTGTGTCTGATCTTCAGCAGCATGTGATCATCTATATTTTGTTGTCTCTTATAGTCTGTGTATTGGTTTAAAAATGTTTATTCTTACAGTCGTTGTTTGACTTATTAACTAATTATGTTGGCTTGAGAAATTATTTTTATTTATTGATTCTGTTTGCTTTATCTTTTATAACTGATACAACTTACAGTTTTCCTAAAAATGACAATCAAACCTCAGAAAAATTCCACAGACTGTCATTGACGGGATGTTCAAATGAGCCAAAACTGTTCAAACTACAAGGAAAAACTGTAAGTGTGTGTCTGATCTTCAGCAGCATGTGATCATCTATATTTTGTTGTCTCTTATAGTCTGTGTATTGGTTTAAAAATGTTTATTCTTACAGTCGTTGTTTGACTTATTAACTAATTATGTTGGCTTGAGAAATTATTTTTATTTATTGATTCTGTTTGCTTTATCTTTTATAACTGATACAACTTACAGTTTTCCTAAAAATGACAATCAAACCTCAGAAAAATTCATTGACGGGATGTTCAAATGAGCCAAAACGGTTCAAACTACTAATGTGTTACACGTTTACACAGCACGTTTGCACTTGGCAAAATCGAGTGACTCCTCTATCTGGATGACCGATCGGATCTCTTTTTCCAGCGCAATATTTAAATAAGTCTTCTGACAGTTTGGTAGAGAGGTGGGGGGTTTTGTGTGACGTTGACCTGTGAATGCAGACACGATGGCTGGATTGCGTTTACATTACATGGAGATCCGATCACAATGCGTCCTCGACTACCTCTGGACCAGAACACACTGATCGGATAACATTCCAATCAGAAGCGCGTTTACACTTGTCTTTTCAATGTGTATGTGGACAACACATGGATACAGGTCGCATGTTAATGCCAAGTGTAAATGCAGCCTAATCTATCTATCTATCTATCTATCCATCAGATACCATACATCATTTCCAGTGTGTGTGTAAGAGCTCAGATCTTCTGCAGTCAGACTCACTGTTCTGGACGATGTCCTGCATCTTCTTCCAGACTCTGAACGGCAGGTTGTCCAAGTAACATGGCACATGAATCAAAGCTCCAGAAGGAGTCTGTGGATCCGGCTGTGATGAGATCTGGACTCTGGAAGAACATTCAGGATCAGAACTGCAGTGGCTTTGGATCAGAAACAGAGAGACCAGAGACAGCAGCAGATCACTCACCTTTCCATTGAGACTGGAAACTCCTGCAGAACAAACACAACCATTGATCATCAACAACTCAATCAATCAATCAATCAATCAATGATCTGAAATCAGACCTTCAGAAAGCAGACGTCACTGGCTTTCATCATCTCCTCCATGTCTTTGATTGTGTGTGAAAGAGCTGAGATGTGTCTGTTCATCTCCCCCAGCTTCTCCTTCATCATCTGCTTCTTCTGCTCCTCTTCCTCCCTCAGTGCAGTGATTGTAGCTTCTTCTTCATCTCTGAGAAACTGATGAAGCTTCTCAAACTGCTGTTTAATCTGACGCTCTGTGTGCTCAGCTTGAGACTGAAATCAAACCACATTCTCTTCAATCATCTATATCGACACACATCAACACAAACACATCATTCAGACCTGAGATAAACTCTGATACTGACATATAACGGATCCAGAAGCAGATTGCTGCTTGCCATTTACAAAAATAATCAACTGGAGTCCATTGTATTAAATATATCAGATCATAACTGTATATAGTGATCCCACAGCTGTAATGACAATGACTCTTAATTCTGTCAACCTTGATGTGCTGAACTGTTTCCCCAAACTCTCCTTTCATTGTTTCATTATGTTGAAGTTTCTCTTGTAATGATTTCAGTGCTGTATTGAGTTCCTCCTAGAATTGAACAAAAAATACATAAAACACCAGATTACAGTGAAGAAAATAAGAGAAGACAATACAGTGATTTGATCATATTAGGGATGCACCAATATGAAAATTTAGATCGATACGATAACAGATAATTATTTAAATATGAAAGGCGATAACCGATATGTTGGCCGATAAATTTAAATCCACATTTTTATAAAATTTTTGAGAGCCTGATTACCAAAAAAGTCTCACCATTAAAATGCATTAAACACTTCAACATAAATCAAACATAAAGCAGCCTTACAAATAAATAAAATAATGCAAACAAGTCACTGGACAACTTTACTTAAGTATAAAAAAAAAAGTAATGTGCCATGCATAAATTAACAGAATAACCAACAATAATGAAATTATTTGAATTAAACCATATTGTTGATGAAAATAACAAGATACGAATAAAAGTGGTGGTTATTATTAATAATATATCAATGATTTTGAAAAAGAAGTATCTTAAATTAATACGACTGTTTCAAATATCAGCATTGCTGTTTGAGCTTCTGCGCTGTAGCTGAGGAGCAACGAACACCAGTAAACTGAAGCGCTTTGTTAGCGGGTTAATTATGCTATATGAGAAAGAGAACATTATGCAAGATAAACATAATATTATAAATTAACTATGCACAAGGTCAAGGTCAAGTTTATTTATATAGCCCTCTAAAACAACATAAATGCTGACCAAAGTGCTGCACAACATATGAGACAAAAACATCCTCATACAATACAATAAAAAAAATAAATCAAAGAAAACAGAACAAAAATTAATAAAGTTAAAACAAAACATCACCATGCAAAATAAAACAAAATTACAACTAAAATATTATCAAATTAAGCATGTGTGTGGATAGAGTAGGGGATAGTCTAATAGACAATGGTAGGGAATTCCAGAGCTTTGGCCCAAGAACTGAGAAAGCCCTGTCACCTTTGGATTTAAGTCGAGATTTTGGAACATTTAATAACATCTGGGTGGAAGATCTATGTGTTCTCTCAGGAGAGTAGGAATGGAGAAGATCTGAAATATAAGTAGGGGCAAAACCATGAAGTGATTTAAATACAAATATTAAAATCAACTCTGAATTGAACAGGTAACCAATGAAGTGACGCTAACACAGGTGTGATATGTTCTCTCTTTTTTGTCCCTGTTAAAAAAACGAGCCGCGGCATTCTGTATTAGTTGCAAGCGCGAGAGCGAGGACTGATTTATTCCAGCGTGTAACACAGTTCGTGGTCACGGGAAGAAGGAGGCGGGAACTGGCGAACGTTTAAACAAAACTTTAATAAAATAAACCAACACAAAATGAAAGTAAACCGGCAGCCCCTCGCGGACGACTGCCGCACACAAAACACAAAGTAAAGTCCAGGCCTGGTCCTCTCTCGTCTTTCACTGTCGTAACTCCTCCTTTTATCCTTCCGGAGCTCCTCCATGGGACTCGAGACCGGTGAGTGGTGCAGGTGTCGCTCATTATCATTACTCCACCGGCCTCGCGCCGTTCCCATGGCTCTCGGCACCGCCCCTCTCGTCACACAGTGTATAGAGCGTTACAATAGTCCAACCTGGTTGAGATGAATGCATGAATAACGGTCTCCAAATCACTAAAGCTCAGAATATTATTTAGCTTGCGGAGTCCCCTAAGCTGCAGAAAACTGGCTCTAACTACAGAATTGATGTGTTTGTCAAATTTTAACTCAGGGTCAAGGGTAACTCCCAGATTTTTAACTTTATCGCGAATGTTTTCTTGAAGGGGGCCCAGGGTAGAACTTAGATTATTTAAAAGGTGTGAAGGGCCAAACAACATAACTTCAGTCTTTTTCTGATTTAGTTGAAGGAAATTATTGTCCATGCAAACCTTAATGCCTTGTTATCACTAGTTCTATTTTTGACTTCCCGAGTCCACTATTAGCATATAGCCCGCTAGCATCGTCAGCGTGGTTGCCGCTAATCTCGCTTACATTACTAATACTCTATTCACACACATTACCATTGTTTTACTCACTGTTACTTGCTTTAATGGCAGATGTGTGTCTACCTTTGAGTGCAGGTGAGGACACGTTCGAGATGCATTCGGTGCAGGTCGAGCTGGAGGCCGTGGAGAAGCAGATCCGCGACCTGGTGGAGAAGCAGACCCAGCTGAGAGAGCGGAGAGCCGCGCTGGAAACATCCCAGGCTGATGCTCACAAGGCTGAGGTAAGTATACAGCGTGCTGCTAATTCTCCCACCACCTCTACTCCATGTGTTTCTCTGCACAGGCCCGGTGCACCCAGGATGCGATCTTCCCAGATGTCCTTCACTCCGGTGCCGGGACACCACGGACCCTGGGTGCAGCACCCGCCACGGAAGTCACGAGCCAGGCCCCGGGCGATGACCTCTCCCCCTCCGCCGCCTCCGGTCTTCGAGATCTCCACCCAGAACCGCTTTGCTCCCCTCCGCGCAACGGAATGCGACGCTGTGATCATAGGAGACTCCATCGTCCGGCACGTCCATGCTACGTTAGCTGAAGGTAA